CCATCTTTGCCTTCAAGAAGTTCCACAAGCCACTGTTAGGTCGTCATTTCACTCTGTTGACCGACCATAAACAGTTACTGTCCATCTTCGGTTCGAAGAAAGGCATCCCAGTCTATTCAGCCAGCCGACTTCAACGATGGGCAACTATTCTCCCGGTTACGATTTTGATATCCGCTACTGTCGTACTACTGACTTTGGCCAGGCTGACGCTCTTTCCCATCTCATCTGTAATCATCAGGAACCTGAGGGAGATACTGTGACTGCTGCTATTTCGATTGAGGACGGAGTGCGCTGTCAGTTGTCGGACGCCATTCGAGGCATTCCTGTAACTGCCACCGACATACGACGCGCTACCGAACTGGATCCCGTGTTTCGACAAGCTATCTCCTATGTACAAACCAGTTGGCCCATCTCTACTCTCACTGGCGATCTTCATCAGCTCTTCCTGCGTCGAGCATCGCTCTCTGTGGTGGATTCCTGCATCATGTTTGCAGACCGTGTGGTCATTCCTCCTTAACTTCGACCTGTTGTGCTACGCCAGTTTCATGCTGCTCATCCTGGTACCAGCCAAATGAAGTCGATCGCTCGCAGTTTTGTCTACTGGCCGGATATTGACAACGACATCAACGATCTCGTGCGGCACTGTTCCCGTTGTCAGCAAGCTGCCAAAGTGCCCGCTCGTCAACCGCCAGTAACATGGCAAACTCCGGATAGGCCTTGGTCTCGTGTGCACCTCGATTTCGCTGGCCCACTCGACGGTGTCACTTATTTAGTCGTGGTTGACGCCTACTCAACGTGGCCCGAGATTGCACCACTACATCCGGCAACCACCTCTGCCACTATTGCCTTCCTACGGCGTATCTTCAGCCAACACGGTCTACCGGATGTCCTGGTGTTGTATAATGGCTCGAAATTTACCTCATCGACCTTTGAGGATTTCTGCCGCCAACACCTCATCTGCGCTCCCCGCCCTTCCATCCCCAATCCAACGGTCAGGCGGAACGCTTTGTCGACACATTCAAACGAGTCCTTTTGAAAGCTCGTGGGGAGGGGACTACGGACGAGATACTCCAGGCCTTCCTGTTCTCCTACAGGACCACCCCTAACGCGGCGTCTCCTGGTGGTGTCTCCCCCGCCGAATCCTTAATGGGCCGGAAACTTCGAACGAAGTTCCATGCGCTGCTGCCTACTAATCTGCCGTCCCCACAGCCACTTCCACCTGTCTCTCGTGGCAAGCTCTCCGTCGGAACACCGGTCTTTGTTCGTGACTACCGAGCAGGGTTTCCAGATTGAATTGAGGGGACAATAACAGCGCACAGAGGCAGCATGCTGTTTGACGTCTCTGTCGGTGATGACACCTGGGTTCTTCATCCACAATCAAATCCGGTGGCGGCAGTGCAGCAACCCAACCAGATTTAAATCAGGCGTTTCACTGCCTCTCGATATCCTGATGCTATTCCAGTGGACCAGTTAGTTCCCAAACCGACTCCTGCAGCCTCTTCGGATGAACCGTTTTCGGAAAAAGTTCCTAGCTCCGCACCGGTAGAGCTGAAACCACTCACAACGCGCCGGACCAACCGTTCTCGCCAAAGTCCGTAGCGCTTACAGGTCAATCAACGCCATCAGCGGTACTGACACACTTGAAGGGGATGTGCTGGGAATGTGCCCATTCCCTCAACTACTCTGTTAGCATACGCCCATTCCCATGATTATTCATCTCACAGAAAGGCCCGCGAGCTCATCTTACGCAGCTGTCACGAGAGCGCGACGTGAATATCGACTTTCGTCCGATCCTGATTGGCTCATAGTCGCACGATGTCTCTCGCGTTCCCTTTAAAGTCTGGGTCTGGCTTGACTTGCTCTGACTTTCTGTAACGTGCTTGTCACAGTAAACTCTCCATCTCTCTGGCCAACCGATCTTCTATCTGTCTCACTCTTACGGGTTCCTTGGTTCGGCGTTCGACTTAGTTAGCAGTACCAGGCGCGGGTCATAACAATAATGCCAATAGTACTGTCCTGTTATAGACTACAAAATGCCCGCTCGAGTGCCCTGAGGTAGCCACAGTTGTCTATGTCCAAACTGAACACACTACCACCCGGCCAATAAAACTATATTTTGACCGTCGATTTTGACGAAGTCCACCCTGTGTCCCATAGGAAGTTGATGCAGGGAGGGTGACTTGCGCATGAGTTAGATTAGAATGGTGATGGAATTGTTCTGCAGCTATCGCACTCTCCCCTACTCACCCACGTAGCCCCAGTGTCATGACCAAGCCAAAAACAGAACACAAGAACATGGACCATTTTACACACCATCCGCCGGGCACTTAAATACACTTTTTGACTCAAGACACTTAAACTTGCTCCTGTGAACATGTAACAACAGCTGACACGCGTTATCATTCCTCCTTTCGGAGGAATAACTTAACACCGTCAGCACACACTCTGGTCTCGCCGCTTGGGAACGCAAATCGCCCTTCTATACTAAAGTTTTGATTACAATTTATTTCGGCTTCTGTTCTAGGTGCAACCACTTTAACACATGTCCTTCCATAAAATAGCAAATAATCCTGCTCGAACCCACCACTTCTGTAACTATTTATCCATTTGGTCAATATTGGGAAATCTCCACGCACCCATTTCAAATACTTTCAGGCAGGAGTTTCCTTGGTAGTGGTCTCAGATACAGAAAGACGTAGGTTTTTGTCATACGCTAACCGTGAGAATTGGGTTTTTATGAGTTGGTAAAACTGATTTACTAAAAAAGGATTTTGTGAAAAGAAAAAAAAGTAAAAAATTTTGTTGAAAATAATTTAATGCCTAATGCTAATGGCTCTATGTCGACGGTGTTGGGCGCGTAACTCGAAGAAGGCGCGAAAAACAAATCAAGGTCGAATTAAGCTCGAATCGAGCTCGA